GATGATAAATCTAAAACAGCCTTTAAAACTCGCTACGGGCACTATGAATTTCTAGTGATGTCCTTCGGGTTGACAAATGCTCCTACTGCATTCATGGACCTCATGAACAGAGTTTTCAAGCCATTCCTTGATACCTTTATTATCGTGTTTATTGACGATATTTTGGTATACTCTAAGAGCAAGGAAGATCCTAGAGAACACCTTAGAATAGCCTTGCAGACCTTGAAGGAGAATGAGTTTTATGCCAAATTTTCAAAATGTGAGTTATGGTTGTAGTCAGTGGCATTCTTAGGCCACGTAGTATCTAGTGAAGGCATAAAAGTAGACCCTCAGCAGACAGAAGCAGTCAAGAACTAGCCTAGGCCGACAACGCCAACCGAAATCAGGAGTTTCTTGGGGTTAGTTGGCTACTATAGAAGGTTTGAGAGGGATTTTCTTCACTTGCAGCTCCATTAACTATGTTGACCCAAAAAGCAGTTAAGTTCCAGTAGTCAAACGCTTGAGAGCAGAGTTTTCAAGAGTTAAAGAAGAGGTTAACCACCGCACCTATGTTAACCTTGCCAATAGGTTCGAGTGGGTTCACAATGTATTGTGATGCCTCCAGAGTTGGTCTTGGTTGTGTTCTTATGCAAAATGAAAAAGTTATTGCTTATGCTTCCAAGCAGTTAAAGAATCATGAAAAGAACTACCCCACACACGACTTGGAGTTTGCAACACTGGTGTTTGCATTAAAAATATGGCGACACTACCTTTATGGTGAGCATTCTGAAGTGTTTACAGATCACAAAAGCCTCCACTACATTTTCCAGCAAAAAGAATTAATTTGAGACAGAGAAGATGGCTCGAGCTATTGAAAGATTATGACATCAATATCCTTTATCACCCGAGCAAAGCTAATGTGGTAGTAGATGCATTTAGTAGGAAATCAATGGGTGTCTTGACCCATCTTGCAGTACAAAGGCGATCTTTGGGTCGAGAAATTCAAAAACTAGCAAATGATGGAATTAGATTGGATGAGACCGAAGAAGGAGGTATAACTGCTTATGCCTTAGCGCAATCCTCCCTTGTTGTGCATGTTAAGGCTAAGCAAGAAGAAGATCTGTACTTAGTGAAGTTAAAAGAAGTAGTTAGAAACAAAGAAATCACTGTTTTCACTCTAAGAAATGACGGAGTTTTGAAGTTGAATGATCGGTTATGTGTGTCTGATGTAGATAGTCTTAGGAAAGACATAATGGAAGAAACTCACAGTTCGAGGTACTCTATCGACCTAGATGCTACCAAAATGTATCTGGACTTGAAAGAGTTGTATTAGTGGAAAGGCATGAAGAAGCAAGTAGCAGAACATGTGGCTAAATGTTTGAATTGCCAGCAAGTCAAAGCCGAGCATCAGAGGCCTGGTGGCCTAGCTCAAGATATAGAAATACCAAAGTGGAAATGGGAGATGATTAATATAGATTTCGTAGTAGGTCTACCTCGCACATACTGTAAGCATGATTCAATTTGGGTTATTGTAGACCGACTGACAAAGTCCGCGCATTTCCTACCAGTAAAGACGACAGACTCTGCAGAGCAGTATGCGCAGTTGTACATCAAAGAAGTAGTCCGATTGTATGGTACTACAGTTTCAATCATATCTGACAGAGGCCCTCAGTTCATAGCGCATTTTTGGCAAGCATTTCAGAAAAGATTAGGTACCAAGGTCAATTTGAGCACCGCTTTCCATCGACAGACCGATGGTCAGGCAGAAAGGACCATTCAGACTCTCGAAGATATGTTGCGTGCGTGTGTTAAAGATTTTGGAGGAAATTGGGATGATCACTTGCCACTTATAGAATTTGCTTACAATAACAGCTATCAGGCCAGCATTGGTATGACTCCTTATGAAGCGTTGTATGGGCGAAGATGTAGGTCTCCAGTAGGTTGGTGTGAACCAGCAGAGGTGTCATTGATTGGTCCAGAGTTTGTTTGTGAGGCCTTGGAGAAAGTTCAACTAATTAGAGAAAAACTGAAAGTTGCTCAGAGTCATCAAAAGTCTTATTCTGACAAGAGGCATCTTGAGTTAGAGTTCATAGTTGGTGATAAGGTGTTTTTGAAAATTTCACCAATGAAAAGAGTTATGAGGTTTGGTAAGAAAGGGAAACTTAGCCCTAGATGTATCGGACCTTATGAAATTCTAGAAAAGAAAAGGAAATGTGGCTTATAAGCTAGCGCTACCCGTTGAGTTGTCCTCTGTTCATCCTGTCTTTCATGTGTCTATGCTTAGAAAGTACATTCATGATGAGTCCCATATAATACTTGCCGACACCATAGAAATTAAAGAAGGCTTGACTTATGAAGAGGTACCTATAGAAATTCTCGATAGGCAAGTAAGAAAGTTGAGAACAAAAGATTTAGCATCGGTAAAAATTTTGTGGAATAATCATGATTCAAAAGAGGCTACCTGGGAGGTCGAGGAAGATATGAGAAAGAAATATCCATATTTATTTGAGGAAAAAGGTATGTGAACCTAAGTTTGGTTTGACATTTATATTTTATTTATTAAATACAAGTTAGCATGTGTTTATGTTCTTGCTAAATTATACTTAGTTGTTGAATTTAGTTTTGCCCAAGTATATTTAGTTATTTAACAATTTAGTTCCACGCCAGAGTACATTTAACTCATTAAATGATTTACTTTTGCTAAAGTGTTTTTCTTTAGATTCTTGTTGGTTATTGTGGTACCTCCTTGCCGGAATGTGAGTAATTAATTTACGAGCCGCGTATGGTACCTATGAATGGCCTGTTATGGTATATCTGGTTGTTGTTGGTGCAGTTGTGGTATTTGGGACAGGGAAGTGTTTTGGGATAGTCTAATTTACAAGGGAAACTCTGCCGAAATTTTTAAAATTTTAGGGAGTTCGCCAAAATTTTGAGTCCCTTGCAAGAGGGAGTAATGCTAAGAAAACTTAAGAGGTTCAAGGACCTAAGAAATGATTGTTAGCTTAAGAATAAGGCCCTAGCAACATTCGAGGACGAATGTTTTTAAGGAGGGAAGATTGTGACACTCCTCAAATTTATAAAAGTTCAAGATACGCTAAATATAGAACTTTATTTTTTTATCTTAAAAATATACTTCTATTACGAATTTAAACCCCGGTGATTGATTTTTGAGTTACTTTTCTATTTATAAATAATTAGATATACAATTAGGGAAATATTAATAATTTTAATATTTCTAATTGTTAAAGGTGGGTATCATTAATTATTAGTTAAGTTAAAGCAATTAAAAAAAAGGGAAAAGGGACTAAAGCCCATAAAGGGTTGTTGAAGAAAAAGGGAAGGCTTAAGGCCTTAAAGCAGTAGCTGGACGTAAAAAGGTCCAAAGAAAGAAGCGACAGAGTTATACGCACAAGAAACAGAACACTATTCTTTACGCAGACAGCAAAATAAAATTCTAGGGTTCTTTACCAATCACTAATTCTTGAACTCAGGTATGTAAATTTCCTTATTGTCAACTATTCTACAGTGGTAATAGGCAAGAATTGAATAGTTAATTCCCTTCTTCCTCTATATCAACAGTAAATTCCATGTTTATGTGTGAAACTTTAAAATTGATTAAAATGCATTGGTGTTGTAGAATCGATTGTTTGACTGGTGTCAATTGGACTGGGGCGTACGTATTGGCTCGAGAAGTATTAAGGTGAGTTGATATAACTCTTTTACTAAAGTGGTTTAACTCACAAAAGCACGCATACAAGGTGTTTGATGAATTGCTTAAAAGAGTTTATATTTACTTAATTGGAGCGAGTGAGTACCTATTAACTTAGAATTGTTCTAGCAAAAGTTTAGATGATTTATTATGTGCATAAATTTCCCGATTTTTGTGTTATTCTTATATGTTATTTTCATGTTGAAAATTTATGAAGAAGCAAGAATCTTTAAAAATACTTTTAGATGTTTATTTCATTCTTATGCCATGCTTTACATTTAAGGATACCAGCATGAGCATGTACATGATGTTCCAAAAAGAAAAGATTTAGATTTGAAAAGTCACAAGAAGAAGTAGAAAGAAAAGTGGAAGTATCCTTTATTCTGAGAAGGGGTCATCGTCCAGGCCGAGGGTCCTGACCAAGGCGTTGACTTCCTGAAACTACTTGTGCCAAAGTAGGGAGCACACGAGCCGAGGGTCTCGTTGCTGAGAAATTACTTAGCCATGCTAAGGTATGATACATGAGCGTTGATAACCATGCAGCGAGTGCACCTCGTGGATTGGGCCTATTCGATCAGGTTGGGATCGAACCCGTGCCGATCACACGGTGACTGAGACAGAATTAAGTCAGGATAGTTGGAACTCCCAAAATATAAAGTAAAGTATTTTTTTTATAAGAAAGAAAAAGAAAAGAATTTCTTTTAGAATATTCATAAACTGCTATTATGCAATTATTTTAGAGTTGTTCTTATAAGCTTTATGCCTTATATGCATTTAGATTCTTTGCTCGTAATGTGTATTGTATTAAAGTTTCGTCCCCTGTCGTTGAGACTCACTGAGTACAATGGATGGTACTGACGTTCTCTTTTGGGAACCTACATTGGTTTGCGGTACAACGTAAGAACCGGTTTTGCAGGCGAGCAGACTACAGTTTAGGACTTCCCTCCCTTCCAGTGCTATTGGTGAGCTTCGCTTTTGTTCGTAGAGTATTCCTTTGAGTCATCTTTATTTAGTGATTTCTTTGTTTACTTAGAGAACTGGCCAGAAAATCTCATTTCTTGTGCAGTGCGTCAGTTTATCAGTAGAGGCTTCACAGACATAGTCGGTGGGTTAAGATTCAGATGTTTTCGATAATAACTTAGCAGTATTTTATTGGTTACTACAAATAAAGTTTTGAAGTTGGCTTATTTTAGATATTTAAATTATTTAAAAGTATTTGGTTACAGTAGTTCCTTGTGGCATGTAAAGTTCGAAGTTATAATAGATTGGATAAGCGCAGATGGTTCGCTCGGTCATGTTAAGTGATTGTCTGCCGGTCCCGACTTGTTCAGAAAATGGGTCGTGACAAAATTCCACAGTCAAAACAGACCAATATGCAAGCTATTATAGGATGGGCAATAGAACGCAAAAGGAAGGGCAAAATTAAACGTTGAAGAAAGAAGCGTACTTCGCTAACGCATGTTGCAGATGGTACATGACGGTAAACAATATCAGCAGCTACTGAGGCACCTGGTGCAGTCTGAAGAAAGTAGCAATCTCAGAAAGAGTCTTAGAAATAATTATTTTGAGAAAGAAAGCCCAACTTTATGAATTGTATTAACCTAGCTAAGATGAGCACACCTTAACCAGAGTAAGAGTGTAACCAACCCCATACTGATGTTTCAAGAAGATTGAACTGTCAAGAAAATGAAAACTCAAGTTAAGGAAATTCCGAAAAAGACATACTAAATTATAAGTGGCTACATCGAGGGCCTAGTAGTCTCAAGACGGCCACTCCTCTTAAGCGTAGCAGAGTACGCCTTTCCTGGTGCCATGTGCTCTATAAGACTAGAACCCCCAACTGGAGCTAAAATTTTATTCTAAAATAAACTGAAGTTCTTAGCCGCAAAGNAAGAAAATTCCGAAAAAGACATACTAAATTATAAAAGCATGAAGTTCCTCAGAGTTAACTCATGGCTACAGCGAGGGCCTAGTACGCCCTAGTAACTCAAGACGGCCACTCCTCTTAAGCGTAGCAGAGTACACCTTTCCTGGTGCCATGTGTTCTATAAGACTATAACCCTCAACTGGAGCTAAAATTTTATTCTAAAATAAACTGAAGTTCTTAGTCACAAAGAGAAACACCTTCCACAGCACTTTAGAGATCCATTTGCCATGATAGCAATCCGATCTCCTAGCACATCAGCTTCATCCATGGAGTGTGTTGTGAGTAATATGATTCTTCCCTTCTTTTTTCTTTTAATCAGCTGCCAAGTTAACCGCATAGAGTATGGATCCATTCCACTTGTCGGTTCATCAAGAATAATAACCTAAAAAGTAGACAAAATCTTTCAGTAAGTTCCAAGGCACAATGAATGAACAAATTTGCTTAACTTGTACTAACCTTACTGTTTCCTATAAGAGCTATCCCAAGGGACAACTTCCTTTTCATACCTCCAGAAAGAGCTTTGACAACAGTATTAAGTTTGTCTGCCAACCCAACCTTATGAAATACAAAGAACAAAGTCCTGTCAACAGTCGGCTAATTAAGCACAGAGGATTGAGTTCTTCTGAATTAAGCCACGGAAGCAATTAGTTATAACAAGGACTGAGGGGAATGGAGAGCAGCTATATTTGTCAGAATTATCAAAAAAGAGGCACTCATGCAATCAAAAATTACTCATCCTATGTAATGGCTCTATGCAGCAACATTGATTTGTATTGCCATAAAGTTTCCAAAAGAAAACTTAAGATTTTAACTATCCCATCCCTTATTTCTTTTGGTGCACCCATGAAGTTCCTTGTTGTATAGAAGATTTGGTTTCTTTCGTAGAAAAACATTTATTTTTGTAGGTTTTCTACTTTTTTGGTATACTTCTTGTATACAGTTGTGTTTTGGGCCACATTATTGAAATTTATTTAATTTATCACAAAAAATTCTCTGACAATTCAGCATTTTTGGTTTCCAAAGTATCTAGTCCTCCGTCAATCAGGTTAAAGTCCACTAGTTCATCTTGCTAGAAAAAAGGTCACACCAAATATTTTATCCAGCAGTGACGATTTAATCTTTATTCAAGATTCAAGAAGATATAGCACCATCCAATTCCAGCAATAGTGCTTAGGAAACTCACTTCATCAACCATTTCAGTCACAGCTTTTTCTTTAGCGTCTTCTGGAACACCCTTTACATCAGCGAAAATTTCTAAATGTTCCTTCACCTGGAAAAATACATTTAAGCATGATATGGTCATTAATAGGAGACAGTATGCACTCACAACGAGAAGCATAGAGCATGTGAACCCCTAAAAAACAAAAATGAAAAAAGAAATAAAATCAATAGCAGAAGAACGGGACAAGCAACACGAGAGTTTAGGCGATGTTCCAAAGCATCAACATTGAAGGTTTTATAGAAATATTTCGGCATCATTATGCAGTAGAACTAATAGAATCACCAGAAGTTTTCAGAGATCTTTGGTTCTGTAGTGTTCTTGAATTGATATTAATCAGGTGTGATCTAAAAGGTTTCTCTACTTGCATCGTTCGGCAGAGAAAATAATTTTTTTTAGAAACAGAGAGCAAATTTGTTGAGGTAAAGATGTCTTCATTACAAGAATTAATCAAAGATAAACAAAATAGAGCTCTCTGATTCCTCAGCAAACTACATACTGATAGACTTCTATATGAAAAATTCACTTAAGGCCAACAGAAGTTCGAAGGAGAGAAAAACAGCTTTATTCCAAACCAGTATCTGAAATTGAAATTATAATAATGTGGAATTGTTAGCCATCATAAACTGTAACAACTTAGTCCTGTCAGCGAGACAATTCCGCAGTCTAACAGCAACTAAAAGCACTATGTATGTCCCTCGGTGATTAAGAATTTTTTAAATCCGTCAAAGGAAACAGCAGTAATCATGTACCCAAGCGGTTATATAAATCATTAGATGAGCCACTTGATGTGTATTTCATCTATCCCATTAATCAGAATCAGTTCTAAGTGACAAAATTATCAGTTCTGAAACTATGCAACTTGATTAACTAGCACTTTACTCACTTCACTCTATTCCTGTCTACCAATTGAACGAGGTCCTGATAACCGTGAGTTCACATCAGGGATCAGTCTNATAAGCTTTATGTTTTACATGCATTTAGAACCTTTGCTTGTAACGTATATGTTATTAAAGTTTCCCCCCCTGTTGTTGAGACTCACTGAGTACAGTGGATGGTACTGACGTTCTCTTTTGGGAACCTACGTTGGTCTGCGGTACAACGTAGGAACTGGATTTNAAAAGAATTTCTTTTAGAATATTCATAAATTGCTATTATGCAATTATTTTAGAATTATTCTTATAAGCTTTATGTTTTACATGCATTTAGAACCTTTGCTCGTAATGTATATGTTATTAAAGTTTCTCCCCCTGTTGTTGAGACTCACTGAGTACAGTGGATGGTACTGACGTTCTCTTTTGGGAACCTACGTTGGTCTGCGGTACAACGTAGGAACCGGATTTGCAGGCGAGCAGGCTACGAGTTAGGACTTCCTTCCCTTCCAGTGATATTGGTGAGCTCCGCTTTTGTTCGTGGAGTATTCTTAGAGTCATTTTCATTTAGCTATTTCTTTATTTATTTAGAGAACTGGCCAGGAAATCTCATGTCCTGAGCAGTGCGTCAGTTTATCGGTATTGGCTTCATAGACATAGTCATTGGGTTGAGATTCATATGTTATTTTATAATAACTTAACAATAATTTTCAGTAGTTACTATGAATAAAGTTTTGGAGTTGATTTATTTAAATATTTGAATTAATCAAGAGTATTTGGTTAGAGTATTGCTTTGTTGCATATAAAGTGTGGAGCTATAATACATTGAATAAGCAGAGATGGTTCGCTCGATCAGGTTTAGTGATCGAGCGCCGGTCTCGGCTTGTTTAGAAAATGGGTCGTGACACTTGCCTTGCCTGTACTATTCCCCTAGTTATGGATGAACTAACAAATAGCATACATGATAAGATTCTCAATGCATATTACTTGCAGATGACATTGTTTTAATTGGTGAAACTAGTGAGAAAGCCAACTAAAAATTGGAACTTATGGAGAAGCACTCTATAGTGCAAGGATTCTAGCATAAGTACAATCAAACAAAAATATATGCACAAGTTTAAGCCCCTTAAGAAGAGGAATTAGAGTGGTTCATGATCTTTAAATGTGAACAATGCACTCAGCCTTCCAGGAGAAGGATATGACAAATGAAAGTGTAGCACATAGAATTAAAATAAGATGTTTGAAATGGAGAATTGTTATAGGTGCTATGTGATAGGAAGATATCCTTACAAAGTGAAAGGCTAATTATAAGGTTGTGAGAATAGCAATGTTATCTGAAAGTGAATGTTTGAAAGAATTCATATAGGTTATATTTACTAGTTGATATAAAGGTTTAGTTGTTGAAACAGTCACATTAAATATGGTGTTTGCCTAAAATCTATTAATTCCAGTTAGAGACTTGTATGTCACTGTACTGTACGTATTTATAAATGTGAGACTTAAAGAACCCCTATTTTCCTCGGAAGAAAAATTATCAACCAATATTGGTAAGAAACGGGCTTGAATGGAGCAGAATAGATATAGAGGATTTTATACAGGCGACCCTAACTAGTTTGGGGATGAAGTGAACATTTCTAGATAATACAATTCAAAATTAACGCAGTCAACTAAACACACATGTACATAACAAGGTGATTGCAATCCTCAAAAAGAGAACATAGGGAAAACGGAAGTGTCAATTATAGTATCTCCCGTGGCACTCAAAACAGCTTGCTTACAGTTAATTCAGGAAAAAGAATATCATACTGAGGGCAGACTCCCAGACTCTTCCGTATTTCATCCTGTTAAAGCAACAAATTTAGTCAGAGAACCAAAGTATCTGAAGTTCTGAACAAAAGAGACTCAAAATGAACAATAAGAGAATGCAAACAACCACAATCAGTTTTGTTGAGCTTAACGATCCAATAAACAAGTTCTGCATTGTTTGATGAACAGGACAAAAAAAATGTGCATGCACACACACACATATTCCTAGTGGCTGATATCGACATTTCATGGCTCCAAAGTGTTTTCAAAATATGAAGATCTCAACAGGTGATTTACCATGTCAGTTAAGATGTTCTTTCCCAACACCAGAGCATCTCCAGAAGTAGGAGAAACGAGACCAACAAGCATGGATATTGTACTGCTTTTACCAGCCCCGTTGTGTCCTTCAAAATAAAGTAGTTACATTGAATCAACAAAGTCAAGAGAAATAAAAGAGATAAATAAGGCAAGAAAAACATATAAGAAATTGAAGAGAACTAGCAAGAGGCATTTATCCATAAAGGATTTGTGAAATGAAAAACAGAAGTCTCAGCAGAATAAACACTAGAGAAGGTTCATATCCTGACAAAGTCAGCCAAAAGATTTTAGAGTTCAATTGTGTGATCTTATAAACCAAGAGCAAAAAAAGTTATAACATTCAGAAGTTCATGGAAACCAGTTTCCCCTTATTAATAAAAAACGGTTTCTGCTCCATAGGATGAGTACCTAATAGTGCCAGAATCTGATTCTCGTACAAAGTCAGTTGTAAAGAATTAACAGCACAACAATTTCCCCTGTTTGTAGCATACACCTTTCGCAGATTCCTGATCTGAATACATCTGGCAAAATTGTAAAGTACCACTTTAAGAAAAATAAATACCTATTGAATGTATGCACTAAAAATCTTGGAAATCGAGATGACGCAAATTTACCTTCCATCTAATTCTTGCTGCTTCATCTCCAAGCTCATTGCTTCTAGAATTGGTCCAGATACATCTTTTATAAAATCGGTGCCACTTGTTTCATCATGATTCTCAGCGAATTTGACTTCTGAGGTGGATGCATAATCATCACTGGTATTTTTCTTCCTCCCAAAGCACTTGTGAAGCAGGGAACGTATTGGGTAACAAAATCCATTCTCCTTGTGGAGGACCTGATTGTACAAGTAAAATTTCTCAAACTCATCCTTAAATGACACCATTATAAATAAAGGGAGAAAAAGCAGAAGCGAGAAGATATTCTTTTTTTAAACTTTTTACAGAATCCAGAAGATTACCTTATCAAAATACAGACCAACTGCAAAGTACAACAAACTGTCAAGTAACATCATGAGGAGAGAGACCAAAAAGCAAACTCCTGAAGATTCCTGCAGTCTCAAAAGTAAACAAGACAATGAAGTACAGAAGATGAATAAGAAAACAAGACAGAGACCTAAAAGGACATACCCGCCACATGTTACTCCAACGGAGTCCGACATGAGCACGTTCATAGTCAGCAAAATTGATGGATCCTAATGCAAAGGCCGTAGGTGAAAGAAAAGAAGCAGTCACTTTCACTATCCTACATGAAAACCAAACAAGGAGTTTTATGCACTGCAGAAGTTGCTACAACTAAGAAATCACATGGAATGAAGACTAACATGGAGACTGTTTCGTCGTTGACAGTATAATAGGGAAAGAATGCCCCAAGGAAAGAAAGGGTCCCGACAGCTACCGCAGTTTTTGCTCTTGTGAAGAAGGTGGAAATCATAAATGACAGAGTTATTCCACTGAGACCAAAGGAAAGGAAGTACGCAAACACCAACGTCTTATCACTGTATTGAAACAGGGTACTCATGGTGCACAGTGTAAGTATCGCAGAAGAAAGAGCAAACTGCCAAAATAAACAGAACATTAAACAGGCAGTAAAGGTGATGATGTCTTGAAAGATCAATATACTAAACAATATTGAAAAGCAGTATAAGTCAGACATGGTGTGGTTCATCACAAGGGTTTTATGGACTCGGCCATCATACCAGGAAAAGAAAAAGGGAAATCAGATGCTTAAATCAGACAGGAGAAAAAGAAATTGCAGTGATTCATTCATGAATGGTAGAAGGGAGACCTTGTCATTTGTTAGCATAAAATTTAGAAATAGTAAATAGAGTCATACAACAGCAGAAAGCTTCTATAAATAGTCATACAACAGCAGCAAAAAGCTTCTCTTTTTCTTCCTTCCTTTTCCACCTCTTTTGGTTTGGGTGTCATGTGAGCAATTGCCCGCAATTATTTCTTTTTTATGTTGGGGGATTTAGTCTTCATGGAGAGAAATATTGCATTTTTACCTGAATAGCATATGTTATAAACCAAGATAGATGGAATATTTCATCTTTCAAACCCATCATGTAAAGACCCTCTTTAATCTTGAGCTCCTAGAGATCAAATATGTCAAAAATAAATGTTAGCAAAAGTACTTCCACAACTGCAATCTACTTAGCAAATGAAGAGCTCATTTTCAAAAAGAAAAATTTCTTTTCCAGATAAGCTATACCTTTTCTAAGACAGAATAACTTATCAGACGAGAAATCGGATAAAGAAACCCCAGCAAGTACCTATGGAACCAAATATCAAAGCATGAGAGAGAATAATGAAAGCACAGGAAATGTAATACTCTCTCCGTCTCAATTTATGTGAACCTATTTGACTGGGCACGGAATTTAAGAAAGAAGAGAAACTTTGAACTTGTGGTGTAAAATGAGGCACATATATGTTCTGTGGCTATAAATCATTGCATAAAGGTACATTGTTTCCAAATATGGAAAGGGATCATTCTTTTTGGCATGGACTAAAAAGGTAATAGGTTCACATAAATTGAAACGGAGGGAGTATATAAGTGGAGAAAGTCAAAATGAACTCAAGAAGAAGAGAAGTATAGAATTCACATACAGCACTCCCATGACTTTCTTGACAATGGACTGGAATTCATTATCAGTATATTCACGAGTCGGAAAAGGAGCAAGTCTTATATTTGAAGGACTAAACTGAGTCCAAGGTATCTTGAGCTGGGCATCTCTATCAAGAGAGTGGCTAGGCAACCTCAATAAGTTCGTCATAGTTTCTTGAGCTGCATATATTATGAATGAGTCCATGACTTGTTGGAGCTGTGAGAAGAAAAATGAAAAAATTATATGCGTGGTTAATTTCACATCAGCTTATCAACTTAGGTGAACAAGTATCATTACATTTTGCAGACACTAAAATCTTACTTCACACAGAAGGTACTTCAGTATTCAAAGTTCTTTCTCCTCTTGATCTTGTCCTAATGTATGATGCAAAGTCATCATACCATACATTAAAAACATCTTTCATATCAACTCCTTCATGCTAACCTTCTTCTTAAAGTCCATGTATATGATAATGACACTCAATTAGTATGCTAGAACACCGTGTGAGTAGCTTGCACCTAAAAACAAGACAACTCATCCAACTAAAATGCATATGACACTAACTTCACAATTCGTATGCTAGAACACCATGTAAGTGCCACGCGCCTAAAAACGAGACAACTCATCCAATTACTTTAACCAATTCATAGATCCTCTACCTTAGTAATCTCAATCGAGTTCATATTTGTGCAGTCGGAAGACTCCAACAATGTTAGCTATGTGACGAACATAAGAAAATATAGAAAGAGATATATTGAGAATCTCTTCCAAACTAGTAATATATGGGGTGAAAACGAATATCTCCGAGACCGTAAAAGAGAATGAATTCTAAGCTATAACCTGCCATCGATTTTGAGAACTTTAGACAACTTTATTACATGTAATTGCACCAAGATATGTAAAGTAGAAGAGATAAGCCTAAGGTCATATTTAACTTTGTTTCTCCTCTTCATCCAAAAGATTAAGCACCAAAGAGGATAATACGACAAGTTTTAGATCTTAATGCAGGCAAGCATATCTTGTTGAATTGGTCTTTTCCGCCAGATCGCGAGATATATACTAATTATTATGTTTTCAATACACCCTGTAAGTGTGGATCGCGTACTTCACTTTGTTTAATGCACAATAATAATTTTATGAAGTGTGAAAGTAAAACAATACCAAGAATTCTACTTCTCCGAATACCAGGTTGAAGTTATAAGCTCCTCTATATTAAGAGTTAAAGTCTTCAAAAGGAAAATGCTTATTTCATTACATAGTATTTTCAACAGGTAACAATTCTCTAAAGAAGAGTTCCCAACTCCAAAACTCCCCAAGTTGATATTAAGGGTTAAACTATTCAATCAGGTATCTTATGACATAACATTTTTTGATTGTTCTCTTGTGACATAACATTTTTTGTTACTATGCTCTTTAGATGGTCTTTGCGTACTCTCAACACAGATCTGTTTCACACTTGACGAACAAGACTGTAAATTCAGAACATTTCCAAAAATTGATGTACAAAAATTAAAAATAAAATTGAAAGAGTTTGCTCAACTTAACACATTTTCATATGAAAGGAATCAAGCTGGCCCAGAACCACTGCCATCAATAACAACTACCTCAGTCCCAAACAAGAGATTTAGATGGATCATATAGCAGGTTAATTATTAAGTACTCAAATATAAGTAATTACCATAGCTTCGGCAATAACATAGATTAGAAGATCAAGATATGATGTTAAAAGAATACAACAAACCAGATATGACATGGAACTAACAATAAAATCTGAACATAAATAAATTAAAAAGATAACAGAACCATGAATCCGAAAGGTAGCAGAGAGGGTAACAAACTCTTACTGTTAAAAACCCACTGAGACCATATTGCAAAATTGGTATGGTATTGACACCTAATGACAAGTCATTCAGGAACGGACCATTTGTGTCCATTATGTTTTTAACATCAGGAAATCCTGAGAAAGCCCAGGTATGGTTTAGGCGTATGCTATAATCAAATGACTGAGGACCTTGCTCATGAAATACCACTGCTCCTTTGATTTTGGGGCTTGTAAGGTTCCTGCCAAAAAAAACAAGAAAAGGGAAAGATAACTTAGCACTTTCTCCTTCAGTCTGAAAATGAAAGTCCACCACGGATATACCATGTGGAAAGGCACGTGGCACCTCCAAAAGTATATCATATTACCAAACTTGTAAGGTGGAGTCGGGTTGTGGAGAGTGGTTCAGAACTGCTTTGGAATATAATACGTGATGCCGGTAACAATAAGAGACGCATCCACAGTTTGGGTATTTAAAAGCAGGAAGAGAAGATCAAGGGCATGGTAAGTTGCCCCTTCAGCCCTTATGTGGATAGCATGGAAGGAGTCGGAGAGTATTAGAAGAATTGAAAATGACTTTGTACATTGAGGAATCGCCTCGTGTCCAATTTATCTTTTTCGGCCACCAACGAGATCCTTATTTTTATAGAAAATTTGGTGTCTTTCGTAATATTTTGATTTACATTTCCCAACTTCTTCATTTACTGCTTGTACACGGAAGCTTTTCAAACATTAACAAAATTATCTACCTTATCTAAAACAATCATGACACGCAACTTTCAAGACATATCTTTGTACATAGTATATTCCAAAATAAAGGGGAAAATAACTCACTTAGTTTGGTCATAAGCAGCATAAAGATCAGAACGGATATATGTTTCAAGTGCTTCTTCGTCTTCGTAAACTCTGGTAACTAGCTGCAAAAGAATAAATCCTAAGCATCATCTCAAACAAAATCCAAATGACATTCACCAAACTAAGAAACAACCAGACAGTAAGTTGAGTAATTTCATAACATGCTTGAGTTTACAAAAAGTTAATCAGTATCAGTTTTTATCCCTATCTAGCAGATCTCTGTCTCTCTCTCTTTCAAGATACAATTGCATTTATCATTGTAGTGGTTCCCTTTACAATTGCAAATGAAATTAACCTCGTGCCGATCAGCCAAAAGAGTAGAACGACATTGATCAGGGATAAAATTCCAAAAATAATGGTATAGTATAAAAATTTTCTGGAAAGCAAAGGATTGGAGCCATTGACTTCTAATGAATACACACATTTACACCTGAAGACAAAATATAAAAGAAGAATAAACTCTAGTTGGAAGTTATTATGTGCTTTCCCACATTACAAACGCATTCATTGACAAGTGATCACTGATCGGTACCATCACCATAATACTTTGAAAATTTTCATGAGAAGAGAAAACAAGACCTGATTTCAACATTTAGAGAAAACAAAACGCGAAGAAACATCAGTAAAAGGTAAATCAAAGAATTTACCCTCAGTAGGGGAAATTTTAGAGACAAAATGTTGATCATCATCCTTGTCTCAGTTGTATTAGGTACAAATGCCAAGTACTCCCCCTTGGCCAATAGTCGCTCCAGAACTTGGTTGAAAGGGGGAGAAGTATCACCTTTCCCAACTTCCACAAACATCCCTATCCCTTTCCGGATATACCTGCATATTTAGTGCTTACAAATTTCAGAAAGAAGAATTTTGCCATAAGTACAGGGAACCAACTGAAAATGCGAAGCTCTGTTAAGCAGGATATGGTTAATAGACATTATTTATCAGTAAACCAGCTTGGACGAAACAGAAGACATTGTAAACAAATAGAAGAATATCTCTGCCACTCTTCAATCTCCTAGAATGTTTATAGAGACATCAAAAAAAATGTAATAATTGAAAATAAATCATGTTGCTTCACTTCACTAATAGCGCAAGAAAAAAGAGCTTCATGCTTTCCCAAATAAACTTAGTTCTACACCATTTTCAGCCTTTCCAAAAGATACAAGTACTATATCTCGAAAAAAATATTAGCAAAAGAGATGCAAACAAAGAGAGAAATGCCATGAACACATAAATATTTTGAATAGTTAAAAGCAAGTTGAGGAAAACATACGGCTGAGCTGGGTGGATGCGGATATCAGATTTACTCCTCACAGCAATCAACAACAGCATTACAAGAGTTGGGAGTAAAATCTGTCATTAAAAGATTCATTTTACAAAGAAATCATTAGCTCCTCTTCTCTTAACAAATAACTATAACATCTCAAGTACCCACCGAGGACAGAAAACGAAACATAAAATGCAATAGAATTTTATTACAACTACTACCACTAAGCCTCAGTCCCAAACAAATTATAGCTGACCACAACTTGTTAGGGACTGATGGATAACTGTTGTAGTTGTGGTAATCAAATTCACCTCACATTCTCGCAATTTTAATTTATTTAAACATTAAAAAACAAGAAAACAATTACAGATCACTTAAATGGTTAAGCAGTCACAGTTGCTAAAAGACAACTTTTAAGTAACTAAAGAAGGGACAGTCACAAGAAGGGCAAGAAAACAGATTCTACAGCAATGCCAGGGGTCCTAAATTGTTTAGATCTGCATCCCCAATCTAATGTTGAAGCCAAAAACATAAATTCTGAAGTTCATATTTTTTTGTCGTCCTACTGTGGTTTAACAGAGTTTGAATTGGTAGTTTACATGATGAATGGCTTTGTAAGCCCAACATTGCTTTACAAGGACCATTTACGTTAAATTTCGTTGATCCCCTGTCAAGGTTTATTTTGTCTTATTGGTTCTACATTTTTTAACTGAAATTCAGTTTGGAACTCTTGATTATCTTCATAGTACAAGATACCTGCTACCTCCCATTAGAACAGGTAGCGGATAACTTGTACGCACCTCGACTAATAGGTAGTACCTGCGACCTCCCATCATCACAGATAGCGGACAACTTCGTCCATCAAAGCATACATAGATGAGAAGAATCCCGTAGCTTTTTAGCCTCTATTGCCATTTGAGCCCTGGTCACCAGGTGACTAACTTATTCTTTTTGCAATGCATTGTTTTTAATCTCCAACCATTCTTATCTATAAGAGACAAAGTGTAGCTAGAGGAGAACATAAGGACCTAATGTAGCTCAACTTAATCTGTCAAAACTCAAAAGTCAAATAGGAAAACAAGGAGAGTTGGGAGATTGATCTGGTTGGTAATCTGAAGCTGCCCCCTTGCACCTTTTTCCTAGAGGTGTAAGATTGATCCCCCCTTCC